ATAACACCATTGAATGTCAAGAAACTATGGTTAAATTGCCTCTTATGGGAGATGGTCATTACCTGGCATTTGTGTAGTGCAAATGTTACTTGCCACTTGTCAGCCTAAACCTGGATATTGTCCAGGTATCGCTGCATTTGAACATGGACTGTTTCAGTGTCTGAGGAGTCATGAATGGTGCTGAACATTGTGCAATCATTGTCAAACATCCCCACTTCTGACCATATAATGGAAGGATGGTCATTGATGAAGCAGCTGAAGATGTTTGGGCTTAGGACACTAACCTGAGGAACTCCTTCAGTGATGTCCTGGAGCTGAGATGATCGACCTCCAACAACCACAATCATCTTCCTATGTATTAGGTATGACTCCAACCAGCAGAGAGTTTGCCCCCTGATTTCTATTGATTCTAGCTTTTTTTAAAATCGGGCTCCTTGATACCACACTTGGTCAAATGAAGCCTTGGCATCAACAGCTATCACTCTCACCTCCTCACAGCTGGAATTCAGCTTTTTTGTCAGCGGTTGAACCAAGGCCGTAATGAGATCAGGAGCATAATTCTCTACACACTCTTCACTGACAATCAGTTTAAGATCATCTGTTAAGATCATCTGTGTGGTGTAGTTAAGTGTAGAATGAAAGTAGATTGCAGTGAAATAAACAGAATTCTTACATGGCTCAATAGGATTGATACACAAAGGATGATTCCTGTAACTGTGGAGTCTAGACACTTGGGACACATTCTCAGAATAAGGGGCAGGCCACTCAGGACTGAGATGAGTGGGAATTTCTTTACTCAGGGTGCAGTGAACCTTTAGAATTCTCCACCCCAGAGTGGCTGTGGAAGCTCAGCTATTGAAAATGTTCAAGACAGATAGATACTAATATATTTCTAAATATTAAAGACATTAAAGAGATATGATGAAAATACAGGAAAATAATAATAAGGAAGAAGGGCAGCCAGTTCAATCGTAAAGATAACACAAGGGTCCAAATGGCCTACTCCTGTAAATATTTCTATGTTTCTATGATCTAATTGAAACACATAATATTGTTGAGGGACTCAATCAAGTAGATGTGGTAAGGGTGATTACCATAGATGGAGAGTTTAGATCTAGAGGCCACAGTCTGAAAATGAGGAGTTAGTCATTTAGGATTGAGATGGAGTAAATTTCTTCACTCAAAGGGCAATGAGTTTTTGTAATTCTCCACCTAGAGGGTTAAGATGCTCATCTGTTGAGTCTATTCCAGAACAGAGAGCAGAAGATCTTTACATACTTTGGGAATTAAACGATATGGGGATAATGCAGAAAGGTGCAATTGAAGTAAAAGGTTAGTTACGATCTTATTGAATAGTAGAGCAGGCCTAAAGGACTGCACAACCTACTCCTGCTTCTATTTCTTTAGCTTTCTAAGTCCTTCCTTAGGCCACAGGTATCTTCATCAGAGAAAATAAATCTACTCAGAGGCCATTCTTGACTGGCTGCTGGAGTAAGACACGGGAGTGGTGCTTTGACCAACTGTTCCTTACAAGCGAGCAGTGCAGAGATCTGGAAACAAAGCAGACCAGTAGGTCACCAGGTTGACCCAGAGTCTCCAGAAAACAATCCCCAGTTTAATGGTCATTATAACTGCCGAGTACAACATCCGAGAGAAAATTGTATGTGTTCTTTTTATTTTTTCTGAGCATTTCCATTCATTTGTTGCAAATTTTCACAGTCTCCAAAATTTCAAGTCAAAAATCATTCAATCGAGTAATGGAATACTCTGCTCACTTTACATGTGGTGTGGGAAGAAGTGGCAATATGAGAATAGACATGTTGAATAACCCATGGGGAATGTGCTAGGGTGGGGCAATTAGGGGAACGTCACACTGTGATAAAACCTTCAGGAGCGCCTCTCATTAAAGCTGGCAATCCAAGCAAAGCAGCAAATTGTTCTTCTCCACTCTGACAGAGAGTAACTAACATTTTGTTTTAGCTTCTCTCCCCTAAAAGATGTTCTGCTAGAATCCATTTTTGGTAATGTCAGCTGCCCTTCCATAACTCATTTAAGTGAGCAACCTTCACGTAAACATGAGATCTGAGACACTATTTGATTTGAGGTACACACCCAGTGTCATCACAACAGGTGATTATAGTGATTACAGTCTGTTATTTAATCAATCTGCCACTTCCAGCACTGGAGTCTTTCTGTCAGCCATGGATCAGTGGGTAGACCCTTGCTTTTCAGCCAGAAGATCATGGATACAGGTCCCAATCCAGAAATTTAAGCATGTAATACTGCACTGGGAGTATCAGACTAAGGGGCTGCTAGATTGTTAACATTCCAATCTCTCATGAGATGCTAGTCTGAGGTCTGACAGGTCTCTTATGTGGATGTAATTGTGTCGGGGAGGTGATGGCCTCGTGGTATTATCACTTGACTGTTAATCCAGAGACCCAGATAATGTTCTGTGGACCTGGGTTTGAATCCCGCCATAGCAGATGGTGGAATTTGAATTCAATAAATATCTGGAATTAAGAGTCTAATGATGGCCATGAATCAATTGCCGATTGTTGGGGGAAAAACCCATCTGCTTCACTAATGCCCTTTAGGGAAGGAAACTGCCATCCTTACCTGGTCTGGCCTACATGTGACTCCAGACCCACAGCAATGTGGTTGGCTATGGGCAATAAATGATGCCTGGCCAGAGACACCCTCATCCCGTGAATGAATAAAGGGAAAAAAAAATGTAAAAGAATCCATTCTAGAGTACAAATATCAGCAACGCTCTCCCTTTTATCTTGACTGATATTTATCACTTAAGCAGCATCTCTAAAACTGTTTATTTCATTATTATTGCAGCCTAAAAATTGGCTGATACATTTTGACCATTATAACAGTTGATGATATTTCATAGGCTGTGAAATGATTTAGGACATCCTAAGGTTATGGAAGATGCCTTGAATCATTGTCATGTTACATCGGTGGCACCATCATGAAGTACTGTACAGTTCTGGTCTTCATGCCTAAGGAAGGATGTACTTGCCGACCATGGAATGTAACATCAATTTAGTAAATCTATTCCTGGGATAGGGAGATTGTCCTATCAGAAGTCATTGAAGAGACAAAGCCTATAATTTCCTAGAGTTTAGAACAATGAGAAGCGATTTAATTGAAATATATGAGATTCTTGAGGGTCTACATAGGGTAGATGCTGGAAGGATACATAATATGTAGAACATTCGAAAGCACATAACACCACTCTAGGTTAAGGCATCAGTACACCACTTCAATATATCCATTGTAATTTGAGACAGCAAACTTTAATTCGGCACAGTTACAGTATAAACACTGGACTCCAACCTAGTCTCAAAGAGCCCACTCCAAAAAACATGGGAATTCTATGTGGAGATTGAATGGGCTTTAAATCAATTGTTTGAATCATCAGTGTTATGAACTGAAGTGATCTAAAAGGAACTACTGTTTGTCAGATTAGTGAAGAATTTAGGTATTTGTATAAAATGATCATAAGAATTGAAAATACAAGCCGGAACTTCTAAAATTAACTATTGTTTTGTCATGCACATTCACCAGGACACAGTCATTTGAAACCAGCCCTTCCTTAGCAAAAGCTATTTCACTAATAACATTCTCTATCCAATTTCAAAAGTTTATTCTATTAAAAAAAGAAAACAGCAATTATGAAAACATTAATTAGAATTTGAACTGACTAGTTTAATATTTGTAATACTTCCAATAATTTTAAAGGAGAAAAAAACTTGATAGTCTGGGTAGACTGACCATTAGTTATTTAATCAAACAGCTTAGTTCTTTTAGATTATTGAACACAAAAGTAACATATAATTTAGCATCCGCACCATATAGGACAGAAGTACTTCACATGACTGGACAGTACATTAACAATAGCATTTATACAGAACCTTTGCTGCACGTTAAAACCTAGCACAGCCAATGAATTACTTTTAAAATGCAGTCACTGTTTTCCTGTGGACAAGGAACAGCAACCCATTTGTGCACAAGATCCCACAAATTGCAAATACTTGGATGGTGAGAGATAGTAGGAACTGCAGATGCTGGAGAATCTGAGATAACAAGGTGTAGGGCTGGATGAACACAGCAGGCCAAGCAGCATCAGAGGGGTCTGAAGAAGGGTCTAGGTCCGAAACGTCAGCTTTCCTGCTCCTCTGATGCTGCTTGGCCTGTTGTGTTCATCCAGCTCTACACCTTGTTATCTCTAATACTTTGATGGTGCTGTTTGAGACACAAGTTCAGTTCAGGCCTAAGACAATTGATTGATCTTGGTGAAATAATGCCAAAAGATCTTTGTTCAGGCAAAGATGGGCCTTGGGTTAACATCTTCTCTGGAAAAGGAACTTTCTACAATGCAAGTAGTCCCTCAGTGAAGAACTGAAATATCAACCCTGAACTCAAGTGTCTAGAAATAGCAAACTCCTGAAAATGGCGATAAGGGCAGAAAATAGTCGAATTACAATTTGTTTTTCATTTCCAGCATCAGTAGTGTCTTCCTTTGAGTAGCAATAAGATGTGGACTGGGTGATTTGCATTTTGGTTACGGCTGAGGGATGAACACTGGGTAGAACACCTGAGGAAAATCCACTGCTCTTCCCTGAGATTGGTAATCCTGTGAGATATTACACCTACTTGATAAAAACGTACACAAGGGTTCCGTTTGTCTTAACCTGAAAGACAGCCCCTCCTCAGTAGGGCACTGAAGAACCAGCCTAGATGTCATTCTTGAGTGTCTGGGTGAGCGTTTGATAGGAGGAATAGTGGGTGTGGAATCAGTGGGTGTGAACTGCTACCTGAGACAAGGCTGATCCCGAGTTCCATACGAAAGCATCACTGACCAAGATAGGGACGAATTGGCAAAAATTAAAATTCTAAGAGCAAAACTTTCATTCAGATATAAAGGTTTTAAACCAGAGCAATCTGCCTTTTTCTTTTGTTCACCCAAAAATGTATAAAATTATTACCTGTTCTATGGGTAAACGGAGTCTCTCGCTGAGAGGTAGAAGTAGCTCTGATCCACCGCTGGAACCCATGCTCGCACCCAACAGGTAGTGAGAGGCGAATGGCGATCTCCTTCCGGAATGCACCTGAAATTGACAGAACCCTCACTTGAAACTGACTGAACTCCGAGCGCCCACAAACTCACTGCTTAGTCCCGGCTTGCTCTCAGTCCCCAGAGCTGACAACAACTCCTCAAACTTTCCGAACAAGTGCTGTTGATTGGCCAACGTCATTGTTTCCAAAACATGGGTGGGGAGACAGGACCTAACTCAAGAGATCCCTTAAGAAAAATCTCGCCGCACGCAAAATTTAAACTTCAAAAGGGTGTTTCCCCTCAGACGCGTTCTCTCGAGCGTTGAGCTTCACGAATATGTGCAGAATTGGCACCACAGCACACCCTGTTGGTTATCTATTCAAGACATTTGGGATCAACTCCTCTTCGTTCTTACATTGAGCATGTTCTTAGGCGATAGGGTCAGATCTCCTGAGTTTGTGTAAAATAAGGAGAAATCCTTTCCTAATATTAAATGAGTGAATTAGCGTAAATTAATAGAACATGGAAACAGATCCTTCGGTCCAATTAGTCCATGGTGAACATAATCCCAAACGAAACTAGTCCCACCTGCCTGCCTCTTGTCCATATCCCTCCAAACATTTCTTATTCAAGTACTTATCCAAGTGTCTGTTAAATGTTGTAGCTGTGACCACATCCACCACTTCCTCAGGAAGTTCATTCCACACAAATAATCACTCTCTGTGTAAAAAAAAGCCCCTCATGTCTTTTTAAAATCTCTCTCCTCTCACCTTAAAATGTGCCCCCTTGTCTTGAAATCCCTGACGCTAGGGCAAAGACACCAATACATACTTATCTATACTGCTCATGATTTTATAAATCTCTATAAGGTCACCCCTCAACCTCCTATGCTCCAGTGAAAGAAGTCCCAACCTATCAGCCTTTCTTTATAACTCAAACCTTTCATACTCAGTAACATTCCCAAGATGAACAGAACACATCCTTTTTTTTGCTTTTGTAGGGGACAGATTTTGATTTAAAATTCATGTAGCACCAGTAAAACATCCCTAAGTAACTTGACAGAAACATTAGAAAATGAAAAGTGATATTTGAGCCACAAAAAAAGAGATAGTCAGACAAGTGATCAATAGTTTGGACAAAAAGGTAGGTTATAAGGATCATTTTAATGGGGCTAGAGAGATTTAGGGAGGGAATTTCGGAGCTAATGGCTCAAACCAACTGAAAGTGCAGTCACTAATGGAAATCCAGTTTGCACTAGAGACTAGAATGAGAGGACTGAATAAATTTTGAAGGGTTGGAGAGTGGAAAGGAGCCTAAGGTAGAGAGATACAGAAATAAGCCTTAAATCAGAGAGAGATTGGACTGAAAGATTATAGCAATATCAATAATTTATGACTCCTAGCAAACTGGAAATCAGGTCAGTCTGTAGATTTTGAACATTTTGCTTCACTGCAAACTATCACTGTAAAGAGATGCTCTACTTCATACTATCCAACAACATTTAGACAATCTAGGGGAGCTCCTGTGGGTTTGTGTGTGGGAATGCTTGATTTTATAAGGATCATGATATCATGAAATACATATGATTCAGAGAGCGTAATTACAAGCCAGTTCTCAAGTCAATTGGAATCAGAAGAAATGAGCACCACTGAACTGATCTTCTTTATTTATATCCTTTTTGAAGTCTGTCTGTTTGCCTCAGGGCTAATTTCAGCCATGAGATTCTTGAGGCATTTACTAAGGAAAGAAAAGCTGAGAGTTTCCCCTCACTGTTTCTATCGTCCGAGCCCCTATCTAAAAAGATCCCTTGGAAAAGGTGCGAGTCAGTTGTATCCAATTAGTATATAAAACTGAAGACCAGTTAATCTGTTCTTGGTGGTTGATGTTTGCATACGTAGTGCTTTCAGCATGTGAACAAGCCATTCAACCCAACCCTAGCTGTGTCTCCTCCCACCATATGTCTGATGTAAGGCTTAAAATGTTAATTCTGTTTTTTCCTCTTCACAGATGTTGTAAATATGCTGACTATTTCCAGCATCTTTGATCTTCTCTTCAACCCAACGCCCACGTTATCTCATGATCTAGCTTCTCCTTAAATACATCTATGCTGTTCCATGTTTTCTCACCATTCTCTGGGTGAAAATGTTTCTCACAAATTTCATATTATTAGTGATTATCTCATAGATATGATGTTTTGATTTCAACTCGTCTGCCAGTGGAAACATCTTCTCTACTTCTACCTTATTAGACTCATGCATCATCTTAAAGTCCTCTGTTAATACTCTCCTCAACCTTCTCTTTCTATGAATAGTGCTGAGCCTATTTTCTTTTTTTATCATTCATTCATTCATGATGTAAGCATCACTGACTAGACCAGCATTTATTGCCCATCCCTAAATGCCCTAGATCTGAATGGCTTGCCAGGCCATTTCAAAAAGTAGTTAAGAGTCAACCGCATTACTTTGGATCTGGAGTTACGTATAGGTCAGACAGACCAGGTAAGGGTGGCAGATTTTCTTCTCTAAAGGCCATTAGTGAATCATATGTTTTTTTTTACAGCAATCCACAGTCACCCTTATACTATCTGTTGTTCCAGATTTTTATTGAATTCAGCTTGCATTACCTGCCCTGGTGGGATTTGAACCCATGGGCCCAGAACATTAACCTAGGGTTCTAGATTAATAGCTCAGTGACATTACCACTGCACCCCCTTACTTGATAAATATTTTTACAAATCCATTTTGTACCTTCTCCAGTGTCTCTATGTTCTTTTGTAATATGGAAACTAAGATTGTGCAGAGGTTTAGGGATAAATGTTGACTAGGCCTGGGCAGACCTCCCTGTTCTTTATTATGTAGTAACATAGCATCTTTTACATCACCATCAGCCAGTAAACAGTGCCCTGGTTAGCATCGAATCCAAAAGTTAGTATGTTGAATAATATAGTACTTTGTCAACACTGAATGAAAGGGCTGCCTTGGATTCAGTAACTCAAATGAACACTTTCATAGAGGGATGTTAGCAAATCGAAGAGGCAGTTGAGCACTAAAGCTCGTGGTGTACTTTGCTCCTCTGATGTTACAGAATGGATACACATTGACTGTACTTCATTCCAACTGAATGAAAAGGCATTCTCAGCAGACGCTGTAAATAATTGGAACCACAGACCCAGATGGTTCCACTTTTTCCCCATTGATTTCATGGGAGTCGGGGTGGCCTTGACTTACAGAAAACCACCCGAATTTGTAGAATGTCCCTGCAGAGATGATTTTAATTAAATCTTAAACATACTAAATAGCAAGGGGAACCTGAGGAATGTGATTTTCTGGAGACAAGAATATTCTTTGCAGTCCCCATTCAGGCACAGTTCCCGACATTGAGAAGACATGTATATCCCGAAGAATAGTATTCTTTTCTCCTCCTTTTCTGAAGGTACCAGCTACTTCCAAGGATACAGTTCCATGGATACTAATTGACTTTCATACTGCACCAGACTGACGAATTTTTGATTATAACCTTAAGTTTGTCAATGTTCACAGGATATTCAATCATACAAGGAGCTTTACATATGTATTTCCCTTCGGGAGTCAATTACTGGCAATCAGAAGGAGCAACTTTGTCTGGTTTCCTCATCCTCCCTTCCCAAGTCTGAGTCAATGGTTCCCAACACTGTTAAGTCATACCTGCAGTGGAGGTGGTGAGAGGAAGTGCAATGCATTGTCTAGCTAATGAAACATTAAGTAGGAGGACATCATCGCCCAGAGTCCAGGCTGAGTTCAGAATGTTGCTACTTTACTTTGAAAGGGAAACGGCAACATTTTTAGTTTTTAGTTATTCTTTGGGATATAAGGATCACTGGGAAAGCTAAAATTTATTGTGCATCCCCAGTTGTATTTGGGAAGATGATGCCAAACCAAGTTCTTGAGCTTGGAGTCTATGCAGTGAAGGTACCCCTATGTTGTTATTTTGGGAATTCTAGGATTTTGACCCAATGACAATGAAGGACAACTTATGTACCACCAAATGGGGTTGGTGTGTAGTTGGGTGGAGAATTCATTTAGGGCAAGGATGGTAGGTAGAGGGAATGCTATATGACTAGAGAAATTGAGGTTTTGGTCAAGAATAAGAAGGAAGCATATGTCAGGTGTAGACAGCAGAAATCGAGTGATTCCCTAGAAGACTATAAAGGCAGTAGGTTTATACTTAAGAGGGAAATCAGGAGGGCAAAAAGAGGACATGATATAGCTTTGGCAAATACGGTTAAGGAGAATTCAAAGGGATTCTACAAATATGTTAAGGACAAAAGGATAACTAGGGAGAGAATAGGGTCCCTTAAAGATCAGCAAGGCCATCTATATGTGGAACCACAGGAGATGAGGGAGATACTAAACGAGTATTTTGCATCAATGTTTACTGTGGAGAAGAATATGAAAGATAGAGAACATAGGGAAATAAATAGTGACATCTTTAAAAATGTCCACATTACAGTGGAGGAGCTGCTGGAAGTCTTAAAACACATAAAGGTGGATAAATCCCCTGGGCCTGATCAGGTGTAACCTAGAACCCTGTGCGAAGCTAGGGAAGTGATTGCTGGGCTCCTTGCTAAGATAATTGTATCAACGATAGCCATGGGTGAGGTGCCAGAAGACTGGAGTTTGGCTAATGTTGTGCCACTATTTAAGAAAGGTGGTAGGGAAAAGCCAGGGAACTATAGACTGGTGAGACTGACATTGATGGTGGGAGTGTTGGAGAGAATCCTGAGGGACAGGATTTACATGTACTTGGATAGGCAAGGACTGATTAGGGATAGTCAACGTGGCTTTGTGCGTGGGAAATCGTGTCTCACTAACTTGATTGAATTTTTTGAAGAAGTAACGAAGAGGATTGATGAGGGCAGAGTGGTGGACATGATCTGTATGGGCTTCAGTAAGGTGTTTGACAAGGTTCCTCATGGTAGACTGGTTAGCAAGGATAGATCACATGGAATACAGTGAGAACTGGCTCGAAGTTAGAAGACAGAGGGTGGTGGTGGAGGGTTGCTTTTCAAACCGGAGCCCTGTGACCAGTGGTGTGCCACAAGGATCAGTGCTGTATCCACTGCTTTTTGTCATTTATATAAATGATTTGGATGTGAATGTAGCAGGTATGGTTAATAAGTTTGCAGATGACACCAAAATTGGAGGTGTAGTGGACAGCGAAGAAGGTTACCTCAGAGTACAACAGGATCTTGATCAGATGGGCCAATAGGCCAAGGAGTGGCAGATGGCATTTAGTTTAGATAAATGTGAGGTGCTTCATTTTGGAAAGGCGAATCACGGC